GTAAGAGAATTATATATATTAGATTTATTTATTTTATTTATTTTTAATTATTCAAAGTTTAGAAATTTTGAAAATATTAGGTTAATATTAAATTGAAATATTTAAGTACTCAAACCCATTATGTAGATCAAACTTGCTTTATTCCTCACAAGATGTTAATTTTTATTATGGTTTCCGTCCAAGTTATTATATTATAGCACATAAAATGTAAGAAAACGAATCTAGTATATCTATAAAGTTATACTTAACACCATATTTGACTTAATCGGAAGAAATTTGGAACTTCTGTCGTGATATTGAGCATTAAAGAGACAGGAAGTGGGATTTGGAAGTTAAACTGGTTCTTATTGACATGTTATCAATCTTCATCCATTATTACAAAACTAAGAATAAACAGATGGAAGTTGATTGATAAATGTGGTTCTAATTAACAGCTTAACTACTTCTAATACAATTCGTAATGAAGTTGAAAAAGAATTAACATTTGTTGGAGTACATATTACTACTTGACACTTTATTTCCGCAGAGTATTATATGATCATGTAATCAAATATACGAAAAATCAACTTGTGACAGAATATGCAAATTCTTAACTCCGTATTATAGCACAATTAAATTCAAATATGACTTGTAACTTGAAGATTATTTAGTATAATCTAATATTCATTTTCTAGGCCGACTTTTCTAGTTTTTTTGGTCATTTATTCTGTTACACTATATATTATTATTTGATTTCGTACTTTATTAAATAAATTCAAATACTTATTTAGTGAAACTTTAAAAGTGGACACTATTTTGTAAGCGAAAAAATTAAGACGATTAAAGACGTATCTGTATTGAACTGATACGTCTAATTTTTCCAACTTAAAAAAATTAAAAACATCAAACATAAATAACATTTTATTTCAAAAGCAAAAACAGTAGTTTAACTATTATCTGAAGCTGACCGGCCAGTGTAGGGGTCGGGGATCAGGGTTCTTGCATAAAGGTGCTAGGTTCGAATCTCGGGCAAGGCATGGATGTTCTTTCATTCTCTGTACTATCTGTCTTTACTGTGGGGACAACGTTGACCCACCTAATATGGTGCCCCTGGAAAAGTGGCCAACAAATTTGCCATTAAGACGCCTGTATGAGGCCTGTATTGTTCGCTGGTCATTCCCTAGGCAACCATTGGAAAAAACACCCTATTATTTTAAAAAAGGAGATGCAAAACGAGACATTATATACTCATAGTGGATAAAGGATCACCCTCAATGGCGAAGGTTGCATTCGTAATTTTAAGTATTTTCAAGTCGTAAGCAAATGAAGTTTAAAATCGATCACTTAATCACACTTTTCTCTTATAACTTTTAGACATGGATGTGTGGTGGAACTTTAGAAATCATACCTTGTTCTCATGTTGGGCATGTTTTTCGATCAAGAAGTCCGTACGTTTGGAAACCAGGGGAGAATGTGTTTCGGACTAATTGCATACGTCTAGCTGAAGTCTGGTTGGATGACTACAAGCAGTTATTTTATAAGAGAATAGGGTTAGATGCGGTAAGAAATTTGTTCTAAACTCTCTGAACCTCAACTTTTCAAAGGCATTAGAAAACGTAATAAATTCATAAAAATTACAAATCTATGTTTATTGGTAAACTCAATACTTCTAAAAGCTAAGTTCTTTGTAATATACAGTATGATATTTTTAATTATGCTCAAATGTAATGAAACTTTAAGTTAGGCTTTAAAAACATCATTCACAATGCTTTAGGTATTGTGCTAAAAATATTTTCCGAAACTTTAAACTTCACGGAGAAAATTTCTAGTAAAAATACCGTACTAATAAGGTAATAACATTTCTGGTAAAAAAAAAGCACTTCTGCCAACTAAACTAAATTAAAAAACAGCAAAACTAAAATATGCGGTATTTAAGCTATTCATTTGTTTATTTTTTCCTTTCGTGTGGTAACGGTAAACCGAAAATTCTAATTTTCAAATATATTGTACTAACTGCAACGTATTTTGTAAAAATATACAATTGGAAATGAAGTTTAACCGATTTAATGATTTTAATCCCATGACTAAGTTATCTTGATTAAATTAGAACGTTTTTATACATTTACAATCACACATCATGTTATTAAAACCATAGTTTACTGTTAATTTTACTATAAGTCATTACCAAAGCTCTTCGGTGAAAATGACCAGGCTTTTTGGTGTTCTCATAGAACAAGAAACACAGGAAATATTACCACGTTCTGAGAATTTTTATAGTACTCCTTTCAGCGCATTTACCAAAAATATTTTAAAATTAAATTAAAACTTCATGGAGAAACTCGTTTATAAAATTTGAACTAGTATCACATATTTGAACTATTATCACTGAATAACAAATCCGTTTCTCAGGCGAATGAATTGTTATTGAGTTCTATTTCAAAGAAATACATTTATTTTTAATTTAAATAATATCAAACACTATATTAAATACAATTTTATACAAATATTTAACATTAAAAATATGGAACGCTAAAAAAATGTAACATACATAATGCAACATTAACGTACATTATTTTGAAAGAAATTTTATTTTAAACATTTTAAATTGCAATATTCAATTATGATTCAAAATTTTATGCTATGTAAACACACCCTATATATTAAAAAATCATACTTGAAATTCCTATCCCTAGTTTTCAGGAAAAAAAGTGTTTTTAAATAAAGTGGTAGCAACTTGGTAAACTCTTTACATCTTTACATATAATTTACAATACATGAGTTAGTAACTGAAATTTTTCACACATAATTTATATTTAAAAAAATTTAAAATAAGAATATAGAATCATTATTTTTATTAAATCTTTTAAATTTCTGTTTTTTTTAAATTATTTATTTGAAATTAACTTTTGTCATTTTTTTACAGTATAGAGTTGTTCAACAGGTAATTTATTTATTTTCTTTTTCCACAATTTATTATAAAGTGCACCTTAGTCGGTAATGCGTTAAGTAATTCATACTGGAATGGATTACTTTAAAATAACTGTTTTATTTAAAAATAAATCTCCTTGATTTAAAGAGTAATATATATCTTGGACTAAAAACTAATATAACTTAGTTTAACACTTTTTTTAAAAAATTTATTATGTTTGAATTTTGAGAGCGAAGTACTTTATTTCTTTAAGTAGACAAAACAGATGAAGTCATACATCCTAGAGTTGATATATTTCGTTTATTTTTTATTTTATTTTATGACCACCGTTGAACAGCCGACCCAATTTTTGGGTTTACGACTACTAATGTTCAACGCCGTAGCCTTGTAATTTTGAACCAATCCAGAAGACAAGGAAACTCCTGGATCGCTACCCCCAGAGGTATTGGATATATTTCGTTGTAGTATAAAAACAAAACAAAACAAGAGAAAAGTGTTTCCTTTAAAAATTAAAGCGTTGTTCTAAAACATTAAAATATTAGGTACGCAAATAAATACAATTTAAAATGTTGATTGAAATTTTTGGTGAAAATGAAAAGGTTTAAAAAATGTTTTATTATTTAGAACGTCTATATGTTCACAAAAATGCCTACAGTCTTGTGTTAGAAGTTACTATTTCACATTTTAACAATTAGTTTTTAAAACGTAAATTTCTTTTTGCACTAATTATAAAATATTTTATTAAAAATAATGTCAACAATATTAACAGCATAACATTATGTCAAAAAAAATAAGTTTTATTAAAGCGGGAAGTTATTATTTTTTTTTCAGAAAAATTACGGAGATGTGTCATCTAGAATAGAATTAAGGAAGAAACTTAATTGCAAATCCTTCGACTGGTATTTAAAAAACATTTATCCCGAGCTATATATCCCTGCTGATCTTGTTGCTGAAGGTGAGGTAAGGTTGAGAATATTTTTTTATCATTTGTGCCGCCTTACATTTTCATCGATTTCATAATGCTTGAAAAAATATTATGAAAGCAGCTCTTCAAATTTACAAAATTAATTATTATATATATACACCAAAGAGCCAAAACATTATGACTACCCTCCATCTATAACAATGGGCTCGTCCAGGTTTTCATGGTTTCTCGTTCAGGAACAATGTTTTCATGGGACACATTTGGACCCATAATTCTCATAGAGCAATCTCTGACGTCTGTAAGCTACTTGAACATAGTTGCGGACCAGGTTCACCCATCATCAGTTTTTCCTGCGGGGGAAGGTCTTTACCAACAGGATAATGCACCGTGTCATAAGGGTCGAATCGTCATGGATTGGTTCGAGGAACATTCCAGTGAATTTCAAGTCATGTCTTGGCCCCCAAATTCACCTGACCTTAATCCAATAGAGCATTTGTGGTCTTACTTGGAAAACCAAATTCGTGCTGCCAAACTACCCCCTCGCAATGTGAGGGAAATTGCGGGACCAGTTGGTGAGCGCTTGGTACTAGATACCTCAGATTACCTATCAGCACCTTGTGGAATCAATGGCACGGCGGGTGTTTGCAGTTTTGAGGACAAAAGGTGGTCCAGCATGTTATTAGCAGGGTGGTCATAATGTAATGGCTCTTCGGTGTATATGTTTTTTTAAAGAAAGAAATTAGGTTCTAAAATATGAATGTAATTTTAGCAATGGAACATGATGAAAAATAAAACAGCATTTGCAAATTATGGTATTTAAATAAAAAGTATTAATTTGTGAAAAATACAATTTTTTTTAAAGAATAACTCTAAGCAATTTATTAATTTAAAACTCTGATTTTAATGTACTGAAATGCATTGTGAATCATTTAACAAATGCAATAAAAGTATTCCACTTAGTTTATTATACAACTGTTTCAATCTATGAAATATTTTTGTTCAAAGGATTTATCAATACCTGTATATTTTTAATTTGAAAATAAGAAGTGTGTCTTGAGATTGAGAAAAAGTATCATATAGCTTAATCAAAAGTGTGGTTAATGTGTGAACCTCCATCATGTTATTATACAAATACTCGAAATAACAATTCAGTAAAGCTATTCTGTAGCTTGTTAGCAGTCAGAGGAGGCATGGAGTTTAAAGTTCCACAATTTTTAGACTACGGAATGATTGTGTTAATATGTTCGCCTTCATTTTTCAAACGAGCTGATACCTATCGATCTTAAGCTGGGGGTAAGAATAAGGGTAACTTATGTTCAACTTTTTCTCAAAGTAAAATGTAATACCCGGTGAAAGTGGCTAATCCACATGGATATTACAGATATAAATATTGTTTTTCAAATCAAATAGCAACTTCTGTGAGGATCAGATTTTTGAATAAAATCATTGAAATTGCCGCTGATTTTTGATAGGTTAAAAGGGTTTTAGCTTTGGGTTAAAAAATACCACTTGGGTAAAAGTTTTAGCATACAAGAAGAAAGTTAAATGCTTTCATTACCAAAGCTCTTCGGTGAAAATGACCAAGTTTNCATTACTAAATATATATATATATATATGTAACTCGATGCTCTTTTGTCCTGCGATGTTAGTAAAGTGTTGGAGAATACATTACTAATGTACCTATAATTTTATTTTATAACCGTCGTTGCATAGTCAACCCAATTCTGGGTTTATGATTACCAATGTTCAACTTCATATCCTCGTAATTTTGAACCCAATCCAGAAGACAAAGGAGCTTCTGTATCAGTACCCCCAGAGGTGTTGATTTGTTATGGGAACATGGAGGGCTTTGTGACTCGACAAATTTAACGTGCGTCAGTCACCATTTACTACACGGGGAATCTTCAGCTGGCTGGGATCAAACCCATGATCTTTTCGATATGGACCTAGTGCCCTATCAACCAGGCTATTCCAGCCGTCTAATGTACATATAATGAAGCTAAGACCTTTCTATTAATTTTAATGATGATGGCATTTTGATGATGACCTTAACAAGATAATTTTTTTCCTTCTTACAGAAAAAGCAAAAAATAGCTTTTTTTCAAATTTTTTGAGCAAATTAGTAAGCAGAACTTCTTGCATGTAGCAATTCAATTGCCTTTCATTCTTTTTCCGTTACACCGCCCCCCCCCCTCAAAAACAGGAAGCCCATTGGAGTAAGTTTTAGAAACAGTTTTCCAGCTTGCGGCTGTGAAGCTAGAGATAGTACCTATCTCGTCAAGCATTATTAAAATTCGAACCAATACTCCAATTTGTTACAAATGTGTCAGAAAATTATTATATTATGATAAGTAAGGCCCGGATTTTGATGACATTTGCATTTTTTTGCATTTTTGGATATTTTTTGCCCTTTAGAGCATTTTTTTAAATTTATGGGGCATTTTTCCTTAAATTTTGGGGCGTGTTTTGCATTTTAAAAAATTTTTTAAGTTTTTTGTTAATTTTTTCAAATTTTTCTTATTTTTAATCAATTTTTATTATTACACTTGCTTCCAATCAATGAAGAAAATCTCTAGGATATTAACAGGTGAAGCAACATCTTTTCAAATTGAAGAAGAATTGTCAGTAAGTGAGGCTGTCTTTTTCAAGTACGCACCAATAACATCAGTAAACGTTGAAAGAAGCTTCTCCAGGTATAAAAACTTACTTTCAGACAAGAGACGCTCGTTTACATTTCAAAATATCAAAACACATTTAATAATCCAATATAATTCTGATATTTGGTAATATTATGAGATGGAAGCTGTTATATTCATTAAAGTTCCTATACAAAATGAAAATGTTTTGGAGTCAATATATTTCCCTTTTTTTTGTTATTTTAGGATATAAAACATATTTTTCAAGCTTTAACGAACGCAGAACAAGTATTGCATTGCTTTATATTTTTTGAAGTGACTCATAACAATTTTAAAGAGTAAAACATTATTTTAGTTCAATATTTTAACTTTATTTATTTCATGTCAG